GGACTATTGGGATATACTGGGTTATTTTGCTGAATTCAAATACCTACAATCTTTCATCTGGCATAAAGTATGAAAAAGTCCTTTAAAGACTTCCCCAAATACATCTTCTCTAACAGCAATGGAACACCCATCATCTCTGACAAAACAAAACAAAAAAGGGGGAAATAAATAAAGTACCATTTTTTTGTGTGTGTGTGTGTGAGAGAGAAAAAAAATATATATGTACATACAAGAGAGGAGATATACAGCTAATTTCTCATAGCTCATTGAGAGGAAAGGTTTGTACTAATATTGTTTAGACAAGATATTATGTCTCCACCTTTTCCTCTGAATAACTACTATATGCAATGTATTGATTATTGTAACTGTGATACTAACCTGTCTTGAAACTGTTTCATTGTTATTTTATCTTTTTTGTCATTAAAATGAAAAAGATCGGGGCCAGACGCAAGGGTCCGAGTTTAATCCCGGGTTCCGAAAAAAAAAAAAAAAAAAGATAACATGGCAACCACTGTTAATTAGCTATCCTTATTTTGAATATCTGTAACATATGTATTGTTATATGTTACCCTATTTCTGTCATTTTTTTCCTGTTTGCCTCTGTTTTTACTCTTCAAATTAAAATAAAATATAATTTTAAAAGAACACAGGTTGTAATTTTGGCAGAAACAACATGTTCAGGAGAGGCAAATTCATACTTGGAGTAAGTGTTTACAGAAGTAAACAAAAAGTGTTGTCCTTTCCGTGATGGAAGCGGCTCAGTATCATTTACCTGCAGAAAGGCCACAGGGTGATCACCCTGAGCAATGTGCTGCTATGCTGGGGACTCCACATTGGCCTCTCCTGCTGGCTTACTGGACATTCAGAAGTTGCTGTAAGCTGGGCACCCTGGCACATGTCTGTGGTCTAGTATTTAGGAGACTAAAGCAGGAGTTTGAGACCAGCCTGTGCTGCATAGTGAGTTCAAGACCAGTATGAATTATAATGTGATCCTACCTCAAAAAAACAAGAAGAAAAAAAGTGACTATAGCCGTATCAGGCTAGTGAGTGGAAGTCTATGTTGCTGAGCCCAAGCATAACCTCCATCCCTGGCACAATGGCCACAGTGGTCATGAGCTCATTGGACAATGACAGGGGTGGCTAAATAAAAATGTTGACTGCTATCTACAGAATGAGTCATCCTATCCACTTGATTTTTAAAAGTCCTCTTCTAATGATAGTTTTTGGTGAGGATTTACATGGGGTACAAATACCTTTATATCATTTCACCACATGGCGAGGTCTGTCCACGTACCTCTTTCATCTGTATTTTTGTCAGCAATTTTCTGGCTATGTTTCTTCCAAGCTACTGGATATCCAGGGGCTACAGCCACTGGCTACAGCCCAAGAATCAGTGTACTCTTCCACCCTACTCCTGATATACATTAAGTTTACACTAATGAATAAATTAGATTTGTAGTGGCAACCTGCACAGTCAGGTGTGGAAGAGTGTAAAAGGCATTTCTGTGCTCCCACTTTCAGCCAGGGGAAGCTTCCATCTTCAGCAAATCCCTTCAGCCAATCCCAGAAACATGTGAAGGCAGTCTGTTCAGCGTTATTTCCTTTCTACATCCTGAGGGTATTTTTAAAAATTTTCTGAGAACTGAAATGAATTCAGAATCAGAGCTGCCATGTGGTTGTGAAGCATGGGAACAGGGTGGCCTATAGATGGCCTCCGACTGAGAGCTTAGTCCTGGCCTTGCTATTCAGTACCCGAGGACCCTGAGAAATTCCCAAACCCAGTAGATCTCAGTGTCATCATGTCTAAAATAGGTTTGCTACACATTTTTGGTTGTAGGACTGGCAGAAGGTTAGAACTGTATTAAAGCAGCTGGCAGAATTTCTTTTTCTTTTTTTTTTTTTTTTTTTAGTGGAACCGGGGATTGAACTCAGGCCCTTGCACTTGCCAGGGAAGCACTTATTCTTCTGAGCCATCTCCCTACCCCCCTCTTTTTTTAGTGGAGAATTTCTGATATGCATTAAATAATTGGTAATAAGCCGCTGGTTCTAGTATCACTCTTATCCCAGACTATCTCTCTTTCTGTGGAAAATTTGTGGGTTTCCCAGGGAAGCTGCAGTCCTGTGGGAAGCTGAGTAGAAAATCATGAAAAAAATGTTACTCAATGACCATTGTCCCCAATGTGTTCTCTCCAGTATGATGTATTACGTGAGTAGATACTGAGGAGTCTGTCTCTGCGTGGTTCAAGTAGTTCACAGCTCCTTGGATTTGGGAGAAGAACCACAGTCCCCTCCCTACCAAACTGTTTTCCACTGGAATAACTACTGTCAATCATATTATCTTCACCCAATAGCTTTGTGGCTCATTAGCCTTCTACAGCAATGGGGTTAGAAATGTGGCTGTTCCAGTGATAAGGCCAACTCAACACAAATTAAATTCCATAAAGTATCAAGCAAGGCTTCCATACTCTAACAAGAAGAGCATCAACTTCCTTCACATGGGAAAGAATGGAAATCTGGCCCAAGCTGAATCCTGGTACAAGTACATGGGAGAATTCTTCACAAACTATGAGAAGGCTCTCTGCTAGGACAACCTTCTTGGTCAGGCTGTGATCTGTTAATTCCGCAAGTGACTGATGCCACTGGTCAGACCTTAACACGCATCTTGGAAGAGTGATTAGGTAATGTGGATGCATGTGGAGAAGTTGCTCCCAATGAAGCTAGTCAAACAGGGCACTGCATGACATTGGAAAGTGGACACTCCAAGCAGAGCAGATACATTAGGACCTCACTTTCCCTGAGAGTCCCCATTATCCCTCAGGAAAGCCTTGCAGAGTCTGGGTATAAGTCCCCTGGTTTTTGCCCTGTGTAGCGGCACTCTGCTCATTGCTGTCCCAGGTTAGGATTCCTCATAGCTTCACCCACTATCTAAAAGCACTGCTCAGTGAAGTCTTCTGTGCTCTCAGGCTGTCATCTCAGGTCCAAGACACCTCATCTGAGGGTCTGGCCCTAGCCAACTTGCAGCTGCATTAAATTAATTCTTCTAGAAGGAATTGCAGTTATCTCAAGCCACAAACTGCTGTGACACAGAAATCATCTATCATTGCTGTCTGCTAGAATTCACTCCCTCTTCACTCTGTTCCCTGTCCTGTAGGTCCTAAAGGCCAACTCCTTATCTCTGGAAATTGGTAGGACTCCTGGAGTCCACCATACTATGGGGAAAAGTGGGTCCTGCTCAGTCTAGTGTACTTGTATGTCCACCACAGGCACAGGGTTGTCCAAAGGGCATGCATGCACCAAAGGTTTGGGAGTCAGTGTGAAGATGGGATTCTTTACTGACAGTAAATTATCCTAATATATTTGAAGAAACCAAACAAATTCAGGCACACATGAGCTTTAATACTATAGAACCATGTGACAAACCCATGTGTCACTGGGTCAGAGCCCTCTTTGTCTGCATGTGAGCAAAGTCAGCAGCAGAACATTCAGATTTATTTGCAATACTGGCACTTTATATGTGGTGGATTGCCAACTTGTAGTCAACTTGTTACACCCAGATGCACTAAACTAGTGTGGTGCTGGGTGTGACAGGCCCACCTGAGGATTGTCACTGGCAGAATGAGGCAGAACTGAAGAAGAGCCTGCAGAGGCTATTGGGGAAGCTGTTGGAGAAGCTGGTGGAGCTGTTGGAAGCTGCTGCTTCTCCTGGGCTGTTCTGCTGGAGGATCTTGTCATACTGGCTTTCCTGATGAATGTGGCTGCTCTCATCCAAGGACAAACTCAGCACCTCATTTCTGAGGATGGCTATGGTTCACTTTGAGGGGGGCTACAGTTCAGTTCGAGGGATCTCTGGTCCTCACTTTAAACATCACTTCCTGGCTCCCGAGGGGAAGATGGCGCACACCTTAGTCTCCAGGGGAAGCTCATCAAGTTGGCTTTCCTGATGGGTGGTTGGCTGTTCTTGTGCTCGGAGGAGCTCAGAACGTCACTGTTACTGAGAATAGCTGTGGTGCTTTTGGGAGGAGCTCTGGTTCTTACTTTGAGCACTGCTTCCCAGCTCCAGTGCAGATCCCTCAGCCTGCTAGCACAGATCCTTCATCTCTCTGGCAAAGACTGTCTAGCTTCCACCACTGACCTTTGGGGCTTTCCAGAGCAGATCTGTGAAGCAGGCCTGCAGGAGACATTGTTGTGGGCTCTAGGCCTCTACTTGGACAGCGAGAGACATTGTTATGGCCTCTAAGTTTTTGGCTGGGCTCATGCAGGATATTAGGATCCAGGCCCTTAGCTGGATTCTTTGATCTTTAGTGTGTGGACAGATTTCTTGCATTCATTACATATGATTCTTTGGGTGATTCATTATGAAATGATCTTATAAAATGTGTCCTTTATTGTATTTTCCCCCTTGCATAACCCCAAACCATAGTTGTGTACTCTGTCTCTAAAGTTTTTACCATCGTTGGCATAAAACAGGAAAACTTAAGAAGCCAAGAATTAATTTTTAAACCTACATGTATGTCTGGATTCCATCTAACTTGATGTAAACTTCTTACATATGTCCACTGAAACTCTTAATTCAATCCAACTTTATCACAAATAAAATAAATGATTTATTAGTTGCTTTTACAAATTACGAAGACTCTTACATTTGGAATGGAAAAATCAAATTCATTTCTGATCAATGTCACACAAAATCACACTCACATCAGAAATTACAATTAGCCATAAATGTAAAATTCTAAAAATGCATGTGAGATTAACGCTCTTCTTCAATAGGATGCTCACGCTACTTCAGTCTTGCAAAAGGGAACAAGATTTTACAAAGTCATTCAGAAAATACGTGTCAACTTCCAGTTACCCGAGATAGAACAGACATCAAGATGATATGCAGTGTTCCCCCATCCTCCTCTGAACCGTCACACTTCTGAATGCTTATTACTTTCCTCAAACACAGACTGAAGAATTGGCCTCATCTTCCATTGGACAGCAGCTAATGAAGCTATCTCTCACACATGGGTAGCCTTTTGCTCCTCTTTCAAAGCGTCTTCATATAGATGTGGATAAGACCTGGGATCTCTCCTATTAATCTTAGCCAAATGCTCCAGGACTTTCATCTTACTGGTTTCAGCATGGGTCCTTGGACCCCATATGAATTCATAGTGAGCTGGATCACTATTGGGTACCCGCCGATACTCTAGATACTGCTCTCGTACCAAATCTTCTACGATGAATTTCCAGACCTCCCCTATATCAGAGTGCTCCCTCTTTGGTAACATCTCCTTTGTTCTCAGCAATTCCATTACATCCTCCTCACTGACATGGTTGCCCTTCAAGAAGATGAAAGTCAACATGACTATCAGGAGGATGAGTTGGGGAATGATCTTGTCATCACCACCTGGTATCCCACTATAAGTGAGGCCCAAGATTGGAACAAAGACATACTTGTGGCCAGGGGGGTCCACTTCCCTCACATCAATACCAAAGCCCAGACACATGTATTCACAAACTTCTCTAAAGATTACAGAGAAGTACTCATGGTACTCATGGTCCACAATGTGAAGCATTTCTTCCATGGTGATCTGCTCCTTCTTTTGATACTTACGGAGCAGGAACTCCAATAATTTGGTTATTTTGTCATCTAGGAACAGATGGCACAGAATCTGAAGGACTAGCATGTCCTGGGAGGTGTATGGACCTTCCTTTTCTTCCCTACTGGACCTCTCAGTGGCTTGGTTCCTTTGGCTGGAAGCCATGGCAGTGAAAGAAAAAAGACAACCTTCAGATTTTGACAGCAATGTGGTGTCCCAGCTCTTGATGTAGCTGGAGTTTGTAGAAGACAGAGAAAGCAGTTGGTACTACTTCCTGGGCTTCAAGCTTGAGAACCTGCAGATGCACCAGGCCCTGTGTCTTTCTTTGAGCAGAACAGCCTCCTCCTAGTTGAGTGCACTTTTTCCACTCACCATGAAGTTTTTATGAGATTCTTTGGTAACAGGGAGAGCTTTGTGATGAATACTCAGGTGCCTGGAGGAGAGAAGGTGACTGTGAGTGTTTTCAGCTGAGAAGACTATTCTTGTCTTCTACAAAGCCTGATTCCAGGTCTTGTCTCTGAGTGGTGCTACAGGGACTCACAGAATCCTGTCCTCCTAGATGCTCTGTCCCCACAGGAAGTGAGATTGCTCCACAAACTGCAGCAGAACATGTAAAACAACGTGCAGGGCAGACAGTAAGACTTGTGAGGCCTGGGCACCAGGAGTCTCTTCTATTGATGGGCAGGTAAAGCCATATGTACCCATCAGGGCATGCTCCTCCCCTTGATGCATGAATATCCTCTGCTGTGTGAGCTGAGTACACCACTTCAGACAAAGACCCTTTCCTGACGGGTTCCTGGAGCTCCTGTAAGAGGCACGGAGGCTCTCTGGCTGCAGACCTCAAGCACAGACCTGCTCTCCCAGCCTGCACAGGAGGGGTGGGCTGGACTCTGTGAGGGCCCCACTGTTTACAGTGACTGAATTGTTCTCTGCTCACACAGGACCCTCAACTGTCCTTGAACAGGGCCTGGACCACAATACCCTGCTGACCTGAGACAAACTCTCAGAAAAAGCCTCTCCTAGCCTGATAGGGAACAATGGGCATGGAGAGAACACACATCTGGCTACAGCTGTGTGGGCGCAATATACCAAGGTGGAATAACTCAGCAGTGGAAAAAAATTCACGTACCCTACAAAAAGGAACTTGCTCCATCCTTATCTGGATAAATGGTAATTTCAGGAAACCACTCTTGTATGACCCTGAGCCACCTTTTTAAAACCACAGCCCCATTTCTGTGAGGCTTTCAAAGAGGAAGTAAGAAGAGGCCACCCATCTATATTCCCTGGGTCTGATGATAGGTGACAAAGCAAAAATTTAAGGGTAGAGTAGTGTGCATTCTGTGGAGGGCTTTCCTTGTACTCTTACCTAGACTGCTTGGGGAAATGGGACTCTACATTTGCTGGCTTGTTCCAAGGCCCCTTACACTAAAGGCTTCAGCTTTTTAAGACGAATAACCCAGAGCTAGGACAGTAAACTCAGTCTGACAACTCTGCTTAGGCTTACAGGGATGATTGAAATTGTAGGGTAGATGACTGTGTTCGCAAACATCTTTTAGAGTCCTCACCTTGAACCTTGGCATAATCTGGACACCTGTGTGTCTCCAGACCAGATGGGTTTCCAGATTGAGTTTTCCTGTGCCAACATGAAGACCCCATCACCAATCAAGTACTTCACTTTAATGAGATCATCAAGATCCTCAAAAGAAGTGAGCACATATTCTTTTTGTCACTCCTCCATGGTAAGTTCAGTAGTGATCGCAAGACCTGTGCCCATATCTCCTGTGATTCAGGATCAGTGTTATGGTTTAAGTCCAGATTGCCCCTGAAAGTTCCATAGGATCACAGGCAGGCCCTTTGGGAGGTGACTGCATTATGTGGTCTTATAGCTGACCTGCTGTTGAGTGGCGCAGTCTTTTAGGAAGAAGAGGGTCACTGGGTGTGGCAGGGAGGTTTTATCTTCCTTCTGGACTTCCCTCCTCACTCTCTGCTTCTTAGATGACTTAAGTTGAGCACTTAAGTCTTCCACTCGGAAGACACTTCCACTCTGCTGTTCTGCCTTGGAACTGGCTGATTATGGACGGAAACCTCTAGAAGCTGAGCCTAAATCAACTTTTCCTCTACTAAACTGGAGGTGTCAGGCATTGTGTCTCCACAATGAAAACATAATTAAGATAACACCTATGAGTTATGTAGTTTCTTCTTCATCAGCAGAGAGAAATGACTTCTCTCTTTGATACCAAGAACTCATATCTCTGGTAATTCTCCACATTGCTACCTTTGGTGAACTTAAGCAAGCCAGTTAGTGCCTTCCATGTTTGACCTAGCAGACAGGCAGGCTGTAGACATCCCCAATCCTTGTGAATGGCAATAGCCTACATAAGTCTGCCCTTCGAGTCCTCTGTCTGCTAACCATATCTCCTTCTACTGAGTAGTGGTCACCTCTTGGACCAAGGTCCTTAACTCCACGAGCACTCCCACCTGTATCCACTTAGAATTGTGAGCAATTTATACGTAGGCCCACTCACCTGGAGCTCTAGGCTGATAACAGCAGAAGTCAGGCCCTGATGGAGCCCTAGCTTTACAGTTGTGGATAACCTTCAATTCTTCACTGGTGCAAAATGGTGGAGTGATGAGGAACAGCAACTGAGCCTCTCCAAGATTAGAAATCCAGACTCTGGAAGGTCATAACTTAGGAGAGAAAAATAAATAAAAATAGAAGACAACAGGTCCATGAGAATACAGAAGGCCTTGACAAGAAAAAGTTTAGACTTTCTCATTGGCACCTGTCTTGTGGGAAAGGAGACTGAATCTGTAGAACCAAAGTGAAAACTGGAGACTCCAAAAGTTCCCAGGGAGCAAAGGTGGTTTTCAGCAGCCTAGTGGTTATGGTGATCTGCAGGGACAGTGTGGAGTTCTGCTCCCAGAGAGTCCTTCCACAGGAAACAGAGGGGGAGTAACCATTCGCAGGTACCTGCATATGCCTGGAGAGTACATGGGCTTGGGTGCCATTCCAGGAAAAGTTTGAGTATTTGAACTGAGGCTCAGAACGAACACAAGCCAGCTTCACTTCAGGGTGTGCAGTGTTACCCCCCTCAGTAAATGGGTGAGAGACATTCTTAGAAAACAGACCCAGGCAGTGGAGCAGTTGAAAAGAGACGCAATAAAGGCTTTGAGCTCATCTGGGAAGGGGATAGCCTTCTCTTGTGGATAGAAGCCAGGCACGGACTGAGTTGCTCTGGATTGGAAAGTCTCCCATGGGTTATTCAAGCCCTTGTCTTTCGACCTGCATCCAGCATGGATCTCCAATCTGGCTGCCTTCCTTCTGCATGAGTGTAAAGAGGGACACACGTCCTCCCAGACAAGGTTACAGACTGAGAAACGCAGAGGGTCCTCTGAGAAAACAGAGAGTTGCTTGACTCCAAAATCCCCAATCATGAACAGAAACTATTTCCCCAAAATCAGAAAGACATTTTCTTTAGTCACTGCCTTTTCTCCTTCTATCCTCTTATCATTTCCTTATTTTATTCACCTCATGTTTTTCTCTTTTTCTGTTATCTTTAATTGCTCACCAGTTTTTTCTCTTATCTTTAATTAATTCTATAAATATACTTCTACTCTTTATTAGCATCTTTTGTTCAATCCTCTTTCCTCTTTCTCACATAGTTTAAATTTTGATATTTTTGTTCTTCATTACCCCTTTCCAAGAAGTTTTACTACCATTATTAGAATTACAGTTTTCACATGTAGTACATATCAGCTGTACGTCAATATCTTAGTTTCCTTAATGTTTATGGTATACTTGTGGATTTCTTTGATATGGTTAAGGGTGGCATATTATATTAATATGCAATTATGGTTGGATGATAGCATTGTGGCTGATTTGCTTGACATTTCCAGGGTCACATAATCATTGCCATTAATAGATTTTTCTCTGTATGCTGATACAGAATTTACTTTTGTGACACTAATACTAGGAAGCATTCTCAGAGAACTTGGTGTTCAGGCAAATACACTGTATCCTAGCCTCTCAAATTAACAAAGTTGGTCAGCTCTTAAGGCAGAGATAAAGGACTGTATCTAGCTATGTCCAAAGTACATCACTGAAAAGCTTAATAAGTAAACAGATTTCTATAATAGCAACAAAGTCTTTCTCATATTAATGCTAAACACTGCAGCACAATAAAACAAACCATAGAAACATAAGAATGCAAGACAAGAAAAAGTCCTGAAAATGCCACCTCTTCCAAAGCCAATTGAGGAATAGAGGAGTGGAGTAGCACAAGCCACACACTGGAATTACTTGGTCGGATAGCAGAAGAGGTTAGAAAATAGAGTAATGAGCTGCTCTGAGGGATCACAGCAGATATAACTAAACAGAAAACAGAAGGAATAACTGAAATGATGGAGGAGCTTTCAGAATACATTAATAAAAAGTCAGCCATGGTAAAAAAAAAAAGATACAAAATGTGCATTAACACTTTAGCAAAGAATTACAACCTATGAAAATGTCTCAATCAAAATTTCAGGACACAGGGTTGGCCAAATAGCTCAGCAGATTAAAGTGCCTGCAAGCAGGTGCAGGGATGGGGGTTTGATCCCAGGGCCAACTGTGCCGCCCCTGGGGAGCGCTGAGACTGTGATTGAGACTGGGCGTGGTGGTGTGCACGTATAATCCCAGCTCTTGAGAGGCTGTAAACAGGAGAATCACTATGGGTCCGATCTAGTAGTAAGATCCTGAACACCCTGTGGACCATTCTCTAAAATACAAAAAAAAATAAATAAATAAATAAATTTAAAAAACCTTCAGAACACTAAATATTGTATTGAAATTGTGAGAAGTGACCAAGAAAACATAATAATTCTAAATAATCAAATGTCAGTCAATGAAGCTAAAGAATCTATTAAAAAAGAAATAAACAAA